ATGGGAGCTATATGCTATAGTCGTCCGATTTTGATGAAATTTAAACCGTAATTCTGAAATATTTAACCATTACTAAATGTCGAAGAACTAAACAAAAACTTAAAAGAAAGCAAAGTTATAATTTTTTTTCATTTATTTTTCCGATTGTTCCTATGGGAGCTATATGCTATAGTCGTCCGATCCGGCTCGTTTCGACTTATATACTACCTGCAATAGAAAGACAACTTTTGGGAAAGTTTCATGCAGCTAGCTTTAAAACTGAGAGACTAGTTTGCATATAAACGGACGGACAGACGGACAGACTGACAGACGGACAGACGGACGGACAGACGGACATGGCTAGATCGACTCTACTAGTGATGCTGATCAAGAATATATATACTTTATAGGGTCGGAGATGTCTCCTTCACTGCGTTGCAAACTTCTGACTGAAATTATAATACCCTCTGCAAGGGTATCGTCCGATTTTGATAAAATTTAAACTATAATTCTGAAATATTTAACCATTGCTATATGTCGAAGAACTAAACAAAAAATTAATAAACAGAAAAGTTATAATTTTTTTCATTTATTTTTCCGATTGTTCCTATGGAAGCTATATGATATAGTCGTCCGACTTTGATGAAATTTAAACCGTAAATCGGAAATATGTAACCATTACTAAATGTCGAAGAACTAAACAAAAAATTGAAAAACAGCAAAGTTATAATTTTTTTCATTTATTTTTCCGATTGTTCCTATGGGAGCTATATGCTATAGTCGTCCGATTTTGATGAAATTTAAACCGTAAATCGGAAATATTTAACCATTACTAAATGTCGAAGAACTAAACAAAAAATTAAAAAACATCAAAGTTATAATTTTTTTCATTTATTTTTCCGATTGTTCCTATGGGAGCTATATGCTATAGTCGTCCGATTTTGATGAAATTTAAACCGTAATTCTGAAATATTTAACCATTACTAAATGTCGAAGAACTAAACAAAAACTTAAAAGAAAGCAAAGTTATAATTTTTTCATTTATTTTTCCGATTGTTCCTATGGGAGCTATATGCTATAGTCGTCCGATCCGGCTCGTTCCGACTTATATACTACCTGCAATAGAAAGACAACTTTTGGGAAAGTTTCATGCAGATAGCTTTAAAACTGAGAGACTAGTTTGCGTAGAAACGGACGGACAGACTAACGGACAGACGGATGGACAGACGGACATGGCTAGATCGACTCTGCTAGTGATGCTGATCAAGAATATATATACTTTATAGGGTCGGAGATGTCTCCTTCACTGCGTTGCAAACTTCTGACTGAAATTATAATGCCCTCTGCAAGGGTATAAAAATTATAACTTTGATGATCCGGCTCGTTCCGACTTATATACTACCTGCAATAGAAAGACAACTTTTTGGAAAGTTTCATGCAGATAGCTTTAAAACTGAGAGACTAGTTTGCGTAGAAACGGACGGACAGAGGGACATGGCTAGATCGACTCGCCTAGTGATGCTGATCAAGAGTATATATACTTTATAGGGTCGGAGATGTCTCCTTCACTGCGTTGCAAACTTCTGACTGAAATTATAATACCCTCTGCAAGGGTATAAAAACAGCAAAGTTATAATTTTTTTCATTTATTTTTCCGATTGTTCCTATGGGAGCTATATGCTATAGTCGTCCGATTTTGATATAATTTAAACCGTTAATCGAAAATATTTAACCATTACTAAGTGTCGAAGGAATAAACAAAAAATTAAAAAACATCAAAGTTATAATTTTTTTCATTTATTTTTCCGATTGTTCCTATGGGAGCTATATGCTATAGTCGTCCGATTTTGATGAAATTTAAACCGTAATTCTGAAATATTTAACCATTACTAAATGTCGAAGAACTAAACAAAAACTTAAAAGAAAGCAAAGTTATAATTTTTTTTCATTTATTTTTCCGATTGTTCCTATGGGAGCTATATGCTATAGTCGTCCGATCCGGCTCGTTCCGACTTATATACTACCTGCAATAGAAAGACAACTTTTGGGAAAGTTTCATGCAGCTAGCTTTAAAACTGAGAGACTAGTTTGCATATAAACGGACGGACAGACGGACAGACTGACAGACGGACAGACGGACAGACGGACAGACGGACGGACAGACGGACATGGCTAGATCGACTCTACTAGTGATGCTGATCAAGAATATATATACTTTATAGGGTCGGAGATGTCTCCTTCACTGCGTTGCAAACTTCTGACTGAAATTATAATACCCTCTGCAAGGGTATAAATATATAAAATAACTATCTAATAATTGAGCTGCAAATCATCATAGCTTCACTGTTTTTCAGTATATACTGAAGTAAATCATAATTTAAATGTTTTCAAAAGTATTTAATTCATGCAATAGCTGCAAGGGTATATGAACTTCGGCTTGCCGAAGTTTGCTTTCTTTCTTGTTTTTTTTAAGTTCTTACACTAATAGTAATAGTTTAACATATCAGAATTACGGTTTTAGTTTTATTTAAATGGACCGACTATATAATATTGCATTCATTTTCGTTTTACCTTTCTTTTTTTTGAATTTTTTTTTTTAAATTCATTTGTTTTAACAATTCTGAGTTACGCTTTAAATTTTATTCGAATCGGAAAAGGATATAATAGCTGCCATAAAAATGATCGAATAATTGAGCTGAAATTTATCATAACCTACGCTTATAAATCGAAATTTAGATGTTTGAAGGATTATTTAATTGGAATATATACTTTGGCTTGCTGAAGTTTGTTTCCTTTATTTTAAAACATTATCTTTTGTATTTAAATGGCTCTGAAGGGAATGTAATGCAATTTTTAAGAGTCCTGCATGTTATTGACAAGGTCAATACCTCCTGGACACAAAACTTTATTTTTATGAAAACATTTTTAAAAGCTTAGATTCGTTGACTAGATTTTAATTTGTTTAAGATTTATAATAAATTGATTACAAGATATTTGTTGTATATATCCCAAAGCTTGAACTTTCCCAGCCCAGTAAAAAACTGAATTTTTATTGCTTAAAATCGCTGTACTCAAAATTTCTATAAGTAATACCATGGTCTAAATTAATTATGATATTATTGTTATATATTTTGTAAGGGAGAAGACGATAAAAAAGATCAACACGGAAATTGAGCTTTTTCACTGGACATCACTTAAGTCAACCATATGCATTTTCCAGTCATAACACCGATAATTCCTGTGCAATCATTTACGAAGCTTAATCGTTGTCGCGAAAGCTCTGTTATCAGTAACTATGAGTGCGCTAACCAGATCAAGCTAGAGCCTGATAAGCAGTCCGCTCTTCAGTTCGGTCCGAGTTCCCAAGCCGATCAGATCGGATCGCAGCCATGCCGAACATCGCAGTTATCGGGGCCGGGGTGAACGGCTTGGCCAGTGCCATCAAGATACTGGAGCACTACGTAAGCGAGGGGAAGTGGCCGATCAGGGTGACCATTATTTCGGAGGACTTCACGCCCAACACAACGGGAGATGGGTCAGCGGGACTCTGGGGCCCCTATCTGCTGGGCGGCACTGCGCAATCGAAGGTCTAGTAAGTGCTTCCCATCACCGTCTTGTGCCCTATAACTTTATTTCGAGCAGCAAGTGGTCGAAGAGTATGCACCAGTTTCTGGAGAAGATCTGGCTGAGTGAGGACGCCGGAGAGGCTGGGGTCTGCCTGCTGCCCTGCACTCGTCTGAGCACCTCCACGGTGGACACCGTCGAAGACTTCTGGCGCGACATTGTCTATGGAGCACAGGATTTGTCCGAGGAACAGCTGGCCGCCTACAATCGAGGACGCAGCGTAAAGTTCACGTAAGGACAGGGACCGGCTCAACTACGTTAAAAGTCATTACACCTTTGCTTTGAACTCCCTAACCTTATTAAAGACCAATGTTTGAGCTAAGATTGAATTATTTCAGGTCAGGATTGTCCTTCGTTACCTACACTTCGGAGCCCGTTAAGCTGCTCCCGTACTTGATGAAGCGGTTCGCCCGCAGCGGCGGTGCAGTCGTTCGTAGAAGGATTACCGACCTGGAGGCTTTCATCGCCGACTCAGAGTACGATGTGGTGGTCAACTGCTCCGGCTTGGGCTCCCGCACGCTCCTGAACGACGACCACATGTACGCAGTACGTGGACAGGTGTGCCGCGTGAAGGCAAACTGGATTTTCTCGGCCGTTTTGGACGAGAGCGACGATGGAAACTACATCATTCCAAAGTGAGTATAGGACACGGTCCGCTGACTTACTGGCACTCTAAAGCCATCGCATTCAAAGCACCGAGAGCGTCGTCCTGGGCGGAACTCACCAGGAGCGGGACTACAACACTCAGGTCTGTCAGCAGGACAAGCGGCTGATTGTGGGTGGCTGTCGGCGTTTTGTCCCGGGTCTGGAGCACACGGACACCCTCTTCGACTGGGTGGGTCTGCGGCCGGGTCGCACTCAACTCCGGCTGGAGGCCGAGCGCCGCGGCCGAAAGCTCCTCATCCACAACTACGGACACGGCGGCAGCGGGGTCACTTTGTGCTGGGGTTGTGCGGACGATGTCCTAGAAATCCTATTGGCATCCCAGAACTGTTCCAAGTTGTAGTCCGCATTAGGGATGTGTAGCTCAGGTTATATACAAAATACAGAATTAAACCTACGTCTCTTTACCCTACCTAGATCTACCCTACTTCAGCTCAGCTTCATCATAAATATGCTTATAAAATGATTATAGTTTGTTACTTATCAAAATGTTTTCTTAGCCAAATGAGTTTTTCCCTTGTCAGGGAGTATAAAAACGAACTGCAACTTCGAGCCATATGCAAATACAACAAATTGAAGATATAAATTTTTTGTTTTATTTATTTTGTGTACCTTTTGCCTTACTTAGATTCTTGAACATTTATTTGTCTTGCCAACGCTCGCTATGCATCAGAATTACCACAAATAAAATCTTAATTTGTGATCCAATCTGGCTAATAAACTGATCGATTACCTTCGGTGAGATCTATACGATTTTATTGTCTAAGCACATTTTAAAGTGTAATCAGAATCATTATCGCACTGGCATGGGGATCGTACTGATAGGCTTATCACCGCCTGCTCCAAACATCGCCCTCTATGATTGTGCCCGCAAGTAAGCACTCGTAGAAGGGAGGCTGGGGGGGGATTTCGAGGGCGAAGCCCAAAAGTAGGCAGACATGTGGTGAAGGGTGGCGCCACAGAGAGATCTCACAAGTCGTCATCGTGCCGCTTTTCGGCCTCCTCCTTGGCCAACTTGGCATCCAGGGCCTCGTGGAACTCCTCGAAGCCGGACATGTCGCCGTACTTCAGAAGCGGGCTGACGGGCAGCTCGAAGAGCAGCGCGTACATCTCGTCCAGCTCGCGCAGGATGTCGAAGGGCCGGGTGTTGCCCACCTTGTAGATCGAGTAGATGGTCCGTCCGATCTCGTCGTACTCGATCAGACTGACGGCCTCCTGATCCACGGAGCTCAGGGCGATGAAGCTCACGCGGGGCATGTGCATGTGCTGGGCCACGAAGCCGAACACATCGAAGATGGTCATTAGGAAGTCCTTGTTGAAGTACAGCTCGTCCGGAAAGGCAATCTCGTGCACGACCAGCGAGTCGTAGGTGGAGATGCCCAGCTTCTCCTTGGTCGCATCGATGAGCTCCTTCTTCATTATTATGATCTGCTGGAAGAGGTTCCTGGGCATCGACGACGGGAAGAACACCCTGCGGGAAATGGGGAATGACATGTAAATTTCGATTGACTAGGCAGTTCGAAGTGGACCGTATAATCGTACCAGGAGTGCCATTCCTCGGTCATCCATTCGAGCAGGCCCACTGCCTTTATCTGGGTTTCGTCCTCGCTAATCATCATCACCGAGCATTCGTTTCGCAGGATGTGGCGCACATACCTTTAAATACATACGATTACGATTAAGCTGTCAAGTTGAACATCTATAATTTCACATCAGTAATATTGTCATTGTCAGTGCATAGGATCACATACCAAATTTACAAAAGAAATACATAGCTTAACCTCGAGCATTTGACGTAAAATATATTCTTTTACTTCTCTTAGCTTGTATGCATACGTTTTTAATAAATTATATATTTCAATAAATACATTTAGTCTACGGTTTATTATTGCTTTGGAACAATAAAAAAGAGATTGAAATCATAAACTAGACATGTTTCAAAACTATTAACATAAATTAAGAACAATAATCTTTACCTAGAATATGTCTCCTTCATGTCCGGCAGATCGAATAGACCGAGACTCTCGTATACCAGGCTTTTTAAAAATGATTGCGACCACATAAACTCAATCACCATGTCGTAGTACCTGCAAAGGTTTGTCAAGATTAGACTCTAGTCTTATACTTATCTTGGGCTGCACATGCTTTGAGTTTATGTCAACTATTAGCATCCCCTCGAAAACATCCCACTGGATGTCGTACCGCAAGGTCCGGACATCTTCCATTGTAGGTTTTTACTTCGAATTTTTGTAAGCACAAATGATTTAATTGGTTAATGAGTCGAAAACACCAAGTAACATCTAAAAGTAAAACATTATTATGAGTTCATAAAATACAGAAAAGCATAGCATACTTTCTGGGTGTCTCTACGGGGAATAATTTACTTTTCTTTACGTTGCGTTTTTAAACGTAATTACAGTGAAAGGTGCTTTGGATAATATATATATAGTATCAAACGCCATGTCAATACTTACAAAAAGAAATAAAATCGAATAAGCTAAAGCATATTTCTTGGATGTCATCCACTTAGCTGGTAAAACTGGTTAGCATATTGTTTCCCAAACACGGTGATGTGCTCTTGGATTCCAATTGGATTTTTTATATCCAAAACAAATAACGGTGAATGTTTATTTGTACAATAAAATGCTAATTTTCTGTTCTGAATAAGGTCATAATTACACAGGCGGCAACAATCAAGGGGTATACGTGTAAATTTAATTTGTCTAATGTCTCAATTTGAATAAATTGCCACCAACATAAAAGCAAATGCAGCCCAAAAGAATGTAAATAACAATCGCACCCATTTGTGGGTGAAGCTCAGTGGACGACTGAGGAAGTACAATGGGCCTGGGGTGAAAACCAAACCAAATCCACCCTCGCCAAAAATTTTCGAAGTGGGAACACGTCCTGAGAAACACCTTGGATTCCTTATTTTAAAATTCAAAGACCATCGGGTGTCATTTACTAGGCAACAAACCAATTGAATAACCGAATTTGGCTCGGATGCTCGGATCTTTGACAGGGGCTTTGTATTTGGAAGACAGCGCATTTTTTAATGTTTCACATCCTTGTCCGTGAGACAATTGGATATTTAAATACAAGCGACAGTTTTAATGCCTGGCGTCGAGTGTCGGTTGGACCGCTGCCATTTGTGGCATACACATTCCGGACACGTATGCAGCCGTCTCATGTCGCTGTCGCCCTGATAAATTCAATATTGAAAAGAAATAATTTAATTTTTGACATCTCTGGGCTGGGGAGTTGGGCTGGGGACTGTGGAAGAGCACTTCATTTTTGGGAGCAACTAAGGAGAGCTAAAGAGCTAGCCATCACCGACATTAAGCAGCGGTTTAGAAAACAGCGTAATACCGCTAAGTCCGCAGTGGACTTTATGATGTTGCATAAAGTGTGTCGGACATAAAAACGTCTCATCTGGGACTCATTTAATCCGCCAAATTGTTTGCACACACTCGCTTTCGCGCCACACCTACCCACCGTCGGGCATCCTTTCCGCCACAAAAAGTAAACGATTCGGGCAGCAACAATAGCGAATTTGAATTCATTCGAAAATCGCTTAACGTCTGCCGGGTGGTTTAGCCTGTTTTCCAGCACACACCTGCGCATTCCCTTGGATTCGCGACCTGGGTGGTGCCATTGTTGGCCGTGACTTGCATTCGCCAGCGACATTCTGCCGGCGCTTTCATTTAAATCGAAAATGCGAAAATACAAAATGAAATGAAAGGCAGTCATTAATGGAAAGGAGTAGAGAGGCAAAAGCGGATCACAACGAAGTTGAAATGTTCTTGGTCCTTTACCAGCAGGATGCACTTACTTTCTTATGAAGAGATACAGTCCCATAACTGGACTACACATTAACACCACTCAAATGATGTATAAGTAATTTATCGGCGTAATGAAGTTTACATGCTAGCAGTTATTTTTTAATGACTACCCTCAGCAGTAACATTTTTTTAAAGTCATTTTGTAAACCACTACTGAAATGGTCAAAATTTTATCACATTTTAAATCAAACTTATTTTTTATGTTTTATATTCTATTCCGATGGTTGAGTTTAATATGTTATATATCTGAATAAAAATTCACTGTTTCACATACAGCTAACCCTTAAAAGAGTATGCCAACGAACACGCCATTTGATTGTGATGGCTGAAAAAGCCGGTTGACAGTGGATGGCATCGATGATTGAGATGGACTGGGCTGGTTTGGATTCTGGTGGAATAGGAAGGGCTGGGAGAAGTGCACTTGTTAGCCGCAAGGTGTTTGCTACCTCATCATCAGCACCCCATATCCCTATTTGGGTGGAGTTTCGCGGTTGTTGAAATGCAAACAAATAAACAAACAAGCCATCAACAAGGGTTCAACAAAAGCAAAGTGCTTAAAGTAATTCAAAATACAGAAAAAAGGGAAGGAGTTGAATAATCTCTCTATATCCCGTGTAGGGTTTTCATTGTTTGATTATTTAGCATTTAAATAGCGCTTAATTAACGTTATACAGATAGACATTTTTCTGATTCAGCGCTCCCCAGATGTTAATGTACATCTAATCCTTACTGGAAAACTTTTGCCAGCAATGATTTTCTCGCTCTCTTTGGGAAAAAGCTGCCCATGCGAAGTGATCAAAGTTCATAATTATGCTTGTAAAACAAATGTAACTTCAAGTTTCTTACCGCCTTGCCTCAGCATGGCCTTGGTTGTTTGCCGGCTAATTTCGGGTCCTCAAATAACTTCTCCAGGGAACAAGCGAGGAGCACATGCTTGAGTCGAAGTAACAGTGTTGGTAACGAAGCTAATTTTAACCCAATCTCTACTAGTTATATGTATATTTACTTTATTATACACTCAGCAAAAAAAAATTCACTTGATTTAAGAAAATGGGGACTTAAATATAATATGAGGAAAGCCTTTCTAGAAAACGTTACAAAGTTTTCTTAAGTGCATGGCAAATTAAGAAAAATATTTCTTCAATTTAACAAAATCTTTTCTGAAAGCATGAACGTTTTTTCCTTAATTTGACTACCAGCCTTTCATATTTCAATGTTAAATATTGGCTATTTAAAATTTTAACTTATTAAATATGAGTATTTTTACAATTTAAATCTTTACAGAAAAATCTTTTAGTATACATACAAATTTTATTAATTAAACACTTTCACCCCGACCTCTTTTTTAACTCGCGACCGTTGCTGTACTTTAGAGAAACGCTCTTAGCCACTCGACATTGCCTTCTTCTATAACGCGGTGCCCTAAGAATACTTTTATTCTCAACTAATCGGAACGCATACCAAGTACATTTTATTCTATTTAAACGATATATCAAAGCGGGATAAGATACTAAATTAATAGATTAATTAAAACAAAAACCAAAAACTATAGTGAAATTAATTTCATTTTAGATATTGCCGCGGCGAGGACTTGAATTGCGCTTAAAAGCTTAGAGTACAAATTCTTTTACCATCTAGACCACGCAATTTTCTGAAACCAAAGTCGGTTTCGCCCTAAAACTAAGAAACTAAATAAAAATAAATCGCTCATAATTTTAGAAAAATAGCATGAGTTATTCTTTCGCCAGCGCAGTTTTTTTTTTGCCAGGTTGTTTAATGGTTAAATTTACATTTTCTGGATTCTATATAATTTTAAAATCACTGAAATTTTCTTAAATCCATTGTGGTTAATTTTTTCGTGTAGTGTGTCCCAAAATTAACCAAAATATTCCACTTCTTACGTGCAAAATAGGTGGTAATGTTTTTAGAAACCAGGACTATTTCGCCGGTTTTTTTTAAAGTTAAATCTTATAAAAAAATCAATTGACTTTAAATTGCCAAAATCCCTTTAAAAAAAAAACCTTTAAGCCCCAGCCCTCTTGTTAATTTTAGGACGATTTTATTTATACTAAATATAAGTAAATTTATATCAAAATTTTTTTTTGATACAGATATAATTAAAAAAAAGCTATGAGTATATGAAGGGATTTGTGTTTTATTAAGCTAAGTAATCGGCGCGAATTTTTTAGATTTAAACTAGCTTTTAAGGCTGCCAATTCATAACTACGCTGACGTTACTGCTGAATTATTATTATTATCGAACACTGAAGTAGTAAACTTCTTATTTTGATTAGCAAGCAAGAATATAATAAGAATCCTTTAAAAAAAACTATAGATTTTTCCTAACGTTTTTCATTTAGCTATTGTTTTTGCAGTTCTCAGTTGTCATCGCTGCTCAGCATCTCTTCCTTTAAGAAATACGTTAAGGAACTTCCGCTTGGGTTTTAACTCACTTAGGTCGCTTGCGACTTATGCAAAAGTTTTCAATTGCCTCTTATTACTGTTTATATTGCTGTTGCCGCGCGCTTTTTATTGTTGCGCCGGCTTAAGAGAAATGCAAATTTATTCAAAATGGAGGATAATGGGAAAGTTAGCCGTGTCTGCAAAGTCTGAATGGAACGGCTACAGCCATAATTAAATATCATTTTTTCGCGTTTATATTTGCATTCTAGCGAACCATTTCCTTTTATTCCGTTCTTAATTTGTTTTGCCTAGATAATTCCCTTAAAGTCAGAGGGAATGGAATAAGCTTGTGTTTTAAGGAAGAATTCCAACGATTGGTATACAAAAAATAGATTTTTTCCATTAGCTGCACGCAATTGTCCAATAAAAATCTAATGGACAAATCAAATTCTTTGAAAAGAGTTGGCTGACTAGCAGCGGCAGAAATCAGTTACAACTATGGACAGTTATCTCAGCGGGTCATCTCCACGGAAGGACAATTATCAGCGGACATGCTAATTTGTGCGTGGCCAAAGGACTCTGCGAACGAAAAAAGTGGCTAAAGCAGAATTCCTCAATATTTGTAGACGGAACGTGATTTGGCGCATTTGCCTTCGCCGGTCAAGAACGGAGACGCCAACGACATGCGACCGCGCCCAACATGAGCACATCGAGGAGGGGAGTGCCGCACCCACCTAGAACTGCCCTCACACACTTACAGATACACCAAGAAAAAAAGTGGCCTCAATGTCCATACTTGAACTATTTACCCAAGCTTTAAGGTTCAAGTTCCAGCTAAGTTGATCGAAAGGTAATCCAGAGTAAAGAATAAAAACAAGGCAATTACCTTCAATCTTATATTTAATACATATTTATACAGTTGAAGAGAGCATTATTTATTTATTTATTTCCATATTTTGCAGCGCTTCAAAAATACATTTTTAACAATGTAATAAGTATGTCATTAAATCGATTTGTTAAATGTAGTATGATGGGACAGAAAGGGACGAAAATATAGTTTATTATCGAAAA